GATTCGGTATAGAAGAAAAGCTTTAAAAAATATTTTATCTTGTTCCTTTATATTTATTATATATCCGTCCTAGTTGTTCTAGTAAAAAGTAATAATCTAGAAAAAATAAAACTTATCTACTCATGATATATATGTTATATACATATAATATATATATGCTATATATGTTATATATATACTATGTATACTATAGATAAAAAAAGAAAAAAAAAAAGGTAAGAAAATCTCAATTTTACTAGGACAACTGGGACGACTGGGACGGGTAGTCTAAAACTCTTTTGTTCGGTTTAAAATTGCCAACAGGTATATTTTTTTCCGTCCTAGCTTATGTTCTAGAAAAAAATCTGTCCTAGAAAAAAACTTGGACATGCCTCCAATATACATACTTACACCCTAAAAATCTATATATTTTTTCCTATCATCTCAATACCATCTTGTGCCATTTTCTCCAGCTTTTTGCGATAGTATTGCTCCATTTTTCGGTGTTTTCTAGCATGAATATCACAAGTACCATATTTAGAAAAAGTTAACTTACCACAATCTTTGCAAGGAACGCGCATAGGAGAATCCCAGTGAACTTGACAACCCTCAGGTCGATAGCAACCCCGGTTACAAACTTCTCCAGTTCTAAGGATATAGGGACAACGATAGAATGCCATATTTATAATATAACTGCTTTGTAATATCTAATAATATGTATCGATTACTATATTCTGGAATTAATTTTCATTTTGAACTTTTTTCTCTCGAATATTATATTATCAAAATAATATGAGTACCCAAAGTGAATATAACACGCCTATTGAACCCGCATCATCTGATGTACCAACTGTGGATAACCAAAATTTCCAAAAAAATATTAATCACGTACTGGCAAAGGCAGAAGCACCACCTTCCTAGCCAGAGAGTCCGGAAAACTTGGAGAATTTCGAGCCAGAGCTAGAGGAAGAAAATAGCGGGGTGTTCTACCGCTGGGCCCCAAAGCTTTTCCTCAATCACAGATTTCAGAAAATAAAAACTCAGAAAAAGGTTAACTTATGCGATATTTTGGTGAAAATTATTTAACAGGATTACCAACTCGTGATAATATAGTTGCAGAAAATGATAAGAGTTTGTCTGTAATTCTTAATAATGCTTTGGATAAACGAGAGAAAATCCCTTTTATGGCTGTCGATTTTGAGGGTTCATCAGAAAAAATAGGAAAAAAAAATCATTATATTTTATGTCTTTACGGCTCTCTCATCAATGGTCAAAAAGCAGTAGTTACTCTTACAGGAATCCAGATTTTCTTTGATATACTTGTACCCGATAATGAATCCATAGATGGCTTTAAAATAAGAATAGATAAAATTCTCTATAATACTGTGAACAATTATAAAATAGAACATATTAATGCATTTCTATTACAAGGTTATCATATAGAAAAAAAGTCATATTTATAAATTTTTACACTCGGTAGTGGAGATAGAAAAAAAGCCCTCCAAGCTATTCAAGATAAAAATTTTGAAACTGCCTCAGATGATATGTTTTCATTCCATCGTAAAATAGCTAGAGAAAATGGAATCGCAATTTCTGGTTGGTC